TTGCGCACCTTGTGTATTTATATATACAGGGGGTAGAATGTTTCGATATTTGACCAATTTAGAGACTTACTGATAAAAATTCAGGTGCCTGTGATTAATTATAAGGCACCCCTCATGAACAATAAATATTTGATCTAATTATGCGACTGGGCACTGGGAGGACGGGTTGATTAATGGCTAAAGGGGTTAAAGGTTATTACCGACTGCAAAACATCGGAGAATTTCTCGACTGATTTTGATTTTCCTTGCCAAAGTATTAAGGCAGCCCTTTAGTTAACTTAAGTTATACTGGTACATTAAGAAAGCCTTTAGTTTATATAAAATTACTGAATACATCTGTAAGATGTACAATTATGGAAACAATAGGATTACTTTCATAATGAAACGTTTGTTAAGGTCTTCCATTTCCAACGGAAGACCTACTGATTCTGTTGTTTCTTTTCCACTATTATTAGACATTTCCAGTTACGAGCGCCACGAGCTCGGACTCGTACTCTGTACTTCAATATACAAGGGGCTGTATCAAAAATTTACAAAAGGGGTTTTAAGATAGACGGATTTTATGCCATTTTCCGCGACAAATTGAAAAACAATGCAAAGACAAATTTAATACTTGTGTAGATTTATCATTTGTTTTCATTTGCACGACAAAGCAAGGCAAATATTGACTGTTTGTCTTATTTTGTAACTTGAATGCCTCTACAGTGTGCCTATGGCACGGAAGAATTTTATTTCTCGAATTGCATGTTATACATTTATTCCCTATATATATTTATTTTTCTGTTTAATGTTCTGCATCGTCACTGCTGATTTACAGATCTTCTAGGAATCTAGGAAACTGTTTTGTGTGTCTTTAAATATATCAAATTTTGACACGGTCCCTAAAAATTTTGAAACAACTGTCCGAGTCAGTGTGCAAGAACGATCTAGAGTCCGTGAAATCTGGAAATGTCTATTATGTCGCCCCGAACGAAGTCGGGGACGCCATATTGATATTGTACGCATGTTTTTTTTTATCCCGGCTGTTTCTCGGAGATGGCATGGGCAATCTTCCTGAAACTTTCCTCAAAAGACGATCACTGGTTGTAGTTGTGCAGTGAGGTCGTTCAGTTCCAATATATCTACCGTTGCCATGGAAACCTGTAAAAAGCGACGAATTTTGTCCGCGAGTGTTCTCTCTGGTGCCTTAAACGTTCGTCACGAAACTTTTCTTATTTTAATGATTAGTATCTGTAGTTGTGCGATTTGCATTTAAAATTTTCAAATAATCGATTATTGCCATGGAAACCAGGGGAAAGTTAAAATTCTTTAATTTCGATTTTCTCAATAACTACGCAAGCAATCGTTTTGAAACTTTCAATGTTTATTCCTTTCAATGTGTCAAGGTGATTTCTACTTTTAAAATAATTGTAATTAGTCGCTCACAGATGCCATAGAAACGAAACAGAAAAAAAGGTTAAGATGTACACATGTGTTCTCCAAGGTCTAGGTCAAAGGGTCAAAGTTCTTCGTATCCAATAAAAGTTCTTTTCACAAGGATTACATATTTGAAATACGAAAGCCCTAGCCCTTACCGTTCAAACGTTATGGCTAAGGTACTATGTTCAAGACGACCCCCCCCCCCCCTTTTGAAGCGCACAGACAGGTAGAATACACAGATATGACATATACAACTTACAAGTAACGTTTTAAAAGTTTCATTCATAAAATTCAGTTCCCTTCATGTGATATTTTGCCATCATTCATTCTCCTTCTATTTTGTCTCTTGAATTTATAAATATTTTATTTTATCTATATAAAAAAAATAACGATTGTCAGCTGCATTTATTATCATTTCGCGTTTTCTTGTATATCTATTACTTGTATATTATTCATTTCATTAGATAGTGCAAGTATAAATTAGAAAATTGGTACGTCATTTCCATATTTTTGATTCATTCATAAGTCCTTGGATCCGCTCCTGCAGGTGCGCGAAGCCTTGATCACCACTGTATACAAAACATTCATCTCGCCGAAAATGTTCATGATTCCGCTAAACTGAGAAAGTTTACACATGATTTATCATCTCATAACATACATCAGCTCTGTGCAATGCAGAAATGCTCGAATTGAAGGGGAAAATTCAGGAGTTATTGATGGGAAAAATTCAAGAGTTATTATGTCGCCCCGAACGAAGTCGACATATTGATATTGCACGCATGTTTTTTTTTTTTTTTTTTTTTTATCCAGGCTGTTTCTCGGAGATGGCATGGGCAATCTTTCTGAAACTTTCCTCAAAAGACGATCACTGGTTGTAGTTGTGCAGTGAGGTCGTTCAGTTCCAATATGTCTACCGTTGCCATGGAAACCTGTAAAAAGCGACGAATTTTGTCCGCGAGTGTTCTCTCTGGTGCCTTAAACGTTCGTCACGAAACTTTTCTTATTTTAATGATTAGTATCTGTAGTTGTGCGATTTGCATTTAAAATTTTCAAATAATCGATTATTGCCATGGAAACCAGGGGAAAGTTAGAATTCTTAATTTCGATTTTCTCAATAACTACGCAAGCAATCGTTTTGAAACTTTCAATGTTTATTCCTTGCAATGTGTCAAGGTGATTTCTACTTTTAAAATAATTGTAATGAGTCGCTCACAGGTGCCATAGAAACGAAACAGAATAAAAGGTTAAGATGTACACATGTGTTCTCCAAGGTCTAGGTCAAAGGGTCAAAGTTCTTCGTATCCAATAAAAGTTCTTTTCACAAGGATTACATATTTGAAATACGAAAGCCCTAGCCCTTACCGTTCAAACGTTACGGCTAAGGTACTATGTTCAAGACGACCCCCCCCCCCCTTTTGAAGCGCACAGACAGGTAGAATACACAGATATGACATATACAACTTACAAGTAACGTTTTAAAAGTTTCATTCATAAAATTCAGTTCCCTTCATGTGATATTTTGCCATCATTCATTCTCCTTCTATTTTGTCTCTTGAATTTATAATTATTTTATTTTATCTATATAAAAAAAATAACGATTGTCAGCTGCATTTATTATCATTTCGCGTTTTCTTGTATATCTATTACGTGTATATTATTCATTTCATTAGACAGTGCAAGTATAAATTAGGAAATTGGTACGTCATTTCCATATTTTTGATTCATTCATAAGTCCTTGGATCCGCTCCTGCAGGTGCGCGAAGCCTTGATCACCACTGTATACAAAACATTCATCTCGCCGAAAATGTTCATGATTCCGCTAAACTGAGAAAGTTTACACATGATTTATCATCTCATAACATACATCAGCTCTGTGCAATGCAGAAATGCTCAAATTGAAGGGGAAAATTCAGGAGTTATTGATGGGAAAAATTCAGGAGTTATTATGTCGCCCCGAACGAAGTCGACATATTGATATTGCACGCATGTTTTTTTTTTTTTTTTTTTTTTTTTTTTTTATCCAGGCTGTTTCTCGGAGATGGCATGGGCAATCTTCCTGAAACTTTCCTCAAAAGACGATCACTGGTTGTAGTTGTGCAGTGAGGTCGTTCAGTTCCAATATATCTACCGTTGCCATGGAAACCTGTAAAAAGCGACGAATTTTGTCCGCGAGTGTTCTCTCTGGTGCCTTAAACGTTCGTCACGAAACTTTTCTTATTTTAATGATTAGTATCTGTAGTTGTGCGATTTGCATTTAGAATTTTCAAATAATCGATTATTGCCATGGAAACCAGGGGAAAGTTAAAATTCTTTTATTTCGATTTTCTCAATAACTACGCAAGCAATCGTTTTGAAACTTTCAATGTTTATTCCTTGCAATGTGTCAAAGTGATTTCTACTTTTAAAATAATTGTAATGAGTCGCTCACAGTTGCCATAGAAATGAAACAGAAAAAAAGGTTAAGATGTACACATGTGTTCTCCAAGGTCTAGGTCAAAGGGTCAAAGTTCTACGTATCCAATAAAAGTTCTTTTCACAAGGATTACATATTTGAAATAAGAAAGCCCTAACCCTTACCGTTCAAACGTTATGGCTAAGGTACTATGTTCAAGACACTGCGCGCGCGCGCGCGCGCGCGCCCCCCCCCCCCCCACCCCCATTTTGAAGCGCACAGCCAGGTAGAATACACAGATATAACATATACAACTTACAAGTAACGTTTTAAAAGTTTCATTCATAAAATTCAGTTCCCTTCATGTGATATTTTGCCATCATTCATTCTCCTTCTGTTTTGTCTCTTGAATTTATAATATCGGCCGATTTTAAAAGTCCCGGCAGAAATCTTAACATTCTTTTACCAATAAATTCTCATAATACCGGCCACCCCTGAAAACCAGACACCGGCCACTTTTTTGTTAACAAATTGTAAGAAACATAGGTAATTTCCCCTCATAATACCGGCCACTTTTTCTTACCAAAATTTCTGTCATCGGCCAAAGGGTAGTAATCGGCCGATTGTAATGACCGGCCAAAGGTGTGAAAATGATCGGAGATCGGAAGTGTGAAAATGGCCTCAAGGGTTTCCTAACCTGTGCTCTCGAGTGTATACAATGGCATGGGAATTGAACAGGATTGATCTAAGTTGTATAAACATACATGAAGTTTGGTGTTATGTACAAATAAAAAATTAAATGACCAATGACTTGTAAAATATAAACAAGTCGTCGTCGCCATGTTTGTTGCATTCGTACTGCATCGTGGATACAAACGGCCTTATAATTTAACAATGATTAAATACAAACTATTCAAAATAATGAAATAAAAAAAAAATAATAGCATCATTCAAAATTATTTAACATGTTATAGTCGTAAAAAAATTGTTCATGTTTATCATTTATTTGATTCTTGAATTTTACAGTTTTTGTTTAATGTCGTAAGCGACAAACACACAGCAGCTACGTAAATAAATAAAAGGTGACTTAAGTTTGTTTGTTTTTTTATTATTATTTTAGAATTAAGCAATTTTAAATTATGTAGAGAATTTTCTTCATTGAATGAATAATTTAAAATTTCAGTCAGCTACTTAAAATTAGATACAAGCCAATAATTAATTAGGGCTTGGTTGTCAGTCCATAATTATACAAGACGTCAATTATTAACACCAGGATCAAAGTGAATGGTACCTACTTTGTGACGATAATCTATCCCAGCAGCTTGAAGATAATTACAGATGCAATGATAGAGCTTGTATTTTTTTCCAAATTAAATCATTATAAGAAATTATTTCTCTAAGATTTTGCAAATGTAGTTTTGATATGATTTAAGATGTTTGTTTGTCTTGTTTTACGAATAAGCTGAAATTATACATAAATACTGCAAGTTCTGCAGTTTTTTCATCAAACATGTCTCAGCCAACAAAGCGTCAACGTCTTGAGTTATCACTTAGTGATAAAATCAAGCTCATCAAGGACCATGAATCTCAACCTAAGATTTCTCAACGTGTGCTTGGTGAGAAATTCAAAGTTGGTAAGTCAACTGTGGGTGACATCTTACGCAAGAAAGACTTCTACCTTGAGCAATTTGAAAAGAACGCCAGTCCCAAGAAATCCAGATTCAACAACACGTGCAAGTTTTTCGACATCAATGATGTTGTGTTCAAGTGGTTTTCTACAGCCCGTGCTAAAGGTATTCCGATTTCCGGACCCATTATCCAAGAGAAGGCTCTTCAGTATTCAGCGGAATTACAGATCCCAGGATTCAAAGCTTCCAATGGTTGGCTGGACAGATGGAAGAACAGATATTCTGTGACAGCTTTCAAGATCAGCGGTGAAAGTGCAAGTGTTGACCCAGTGACAGTCGAAGATTACAGACAAAGACTTCCTGATATCACAGCTGACTACGACCCAAAAGACATCTTCAATTGTGATGAGACCGGCTTGTTCTATCGTGCTCTACCTGACAAGACTCTCAACAATAAAGACATCATGTGTAAAGGCGGCAAAAGTGCTAAAGAACGACTTACCGTGATGTTTGCGTGTAGTGCTACTGGTGAAAAACTAAAGCCCCTAGTGATCGGCAAATCAAACCAACCAAGATGCTTCAAGAACATCAAGAAGACTACTCTGCCAGTTGACTACACAGCTAACAAGAAGGCTTGGATGACTTCCGAAATCTTCAACAACTGGATCCTGGCCATCAACAACAGCATGAAAAAACAGAGACGACACATTCTGATGTTCCTGGACAATGCTTCCTCCCATTCGCATGAACTGAGACTCAGCAATGTGAAATTGAAGTTCCTCCCAGCAAACACCACATCTGTGCTGCAGCCATTGGATCAAGGTGTGATTCGTGCCTTCAAAGCTCGATACAGGAAGCTAATGATCAAGTCACTCATCACCAAAATTGACCAGACCCAATCAGCAACAGAACTGTGCAAAGAAATTTCCATTCTCGATGCCATCTACTGGATATCAAGAGCCTGGAAAGACACTAAAGACTCCACCATCCAGAAGTGCTTCAAGCTTGCAGGGTTTCCTAGCCCAGACCAAAAAGACCAAGAAGACCCATCCATCAGTGAAGATGAAGATGACGACATCCCACTGATTCAGCTCGCAAGACAACTGAGGGAATTGCCAAGTGACTTCGACAGCAACTTTGATGGTAGTGTTCCAACAGAGGACGATTCAGATGACTGGGAGAAGGATCTTCTCGGCCCTTACCAACGCCAAGAAACTCTGGAAAGTGATGATGAAGAAGAATCAGTCAACGAAACCAGCAGCGAGCCCACAATGAGTTTAGAGGAAACACTTCAGCAATTGAGAAAGATCCACAACCAGACAACAGAGGAATCCATCAAGCCCATGACTGGAGAAATCATTCTCCAGCTTGAAGATTTGGTAGTGATGAAGCGATCAAAGACTGCACAGACAACACTGGACAAGTTTTTTAAGTGACTTGTTTGTGAAAATTGATGTTCTGTAAATGAATGTGGTGAAAAAGAAACAAAAGTTCAAACTTTTAAATCTTAGTGTTATATGTAGTGCATTTATTGACATCATTCAATGTTCACATTTTAAAATGTAGTGCTTGTTCTTTTTAGCTTACCATTTCTTTTTAACTGTACATGTGCTTCATTAAATTTATTAAATTTTAGGAATGTTGAATTCGTAAATTGTATTAGTGCTCAGAAATAAAAAAAAAATTAAAAAATGATTTATTTACTTATAAATGTTTATGAATTTAAAAAGGTTTTTATTTTCATTTACTGAAATAATAACCTATTGCTGAACATTGTATCAATAAGATTTGTTGAAGCAGCGAACAAGTAGATATACATGTAATAGCATGTTCAAAATTGTACACATGCTGAATTCTCAGTAAACCGGCCACCCCTCTAAACCGGCCATTTCATTCAGTCCGGCAGCCGGCCGGTTTAGAGAAGTTTTACTGTATTTTATTTTATCTATATAAAAAAAAAATAACGATTGTCAGCTGCATTTATTATCATTTCGCGTTTTCTTGTATGTCTATTACTTGTATATTATTCATTTCATTAGATAGTGCAAGTATAAATTAGAAAATTGGTACGTCATTTCCATATTTTTGATTCATTCATAAGTCCTTGGATCCGCTCCTGCAGGTGCGCGAAGCCTTGATCACCACTGTATACAAAACATTCATCTCGCCGAAAATGTTCATGATTCCGCTAAACTGAGAAAGTTTACACATGATTTATCATCTCATAACATACATCAGCTCTGTGCAATGCAGAAATGTTCGAATTGAAGGTGGCATGTCAGATTCGTTTTCCGGCAGAACCTCTAAAATGAAAGTGAAAGTATGGACATTTCAGATTTCTCACTGGCGTTATAATACACAAAATAATTCGGCTGATCTTCTTAATAAATTACAAATGCCAAGCTTTTTTGGTAGGAAAGATACAGCCAATTAACAAGTATGAGGCTCAGTTCAGTACATCTGCCCAATTTCTTTTATGCAAGTCTGCAAATTTAGGAACTTGTAATTTTTTTCCTGCACTACATTCTTCTCCTACCGATTCTAAAAATAATTAGTGGGATGTACCCAATTAAGGTCTTCCGTTTCCAACGGAAAGGACTGATACGACTCAATGGTTGTCCAAGCTTAGCTAATGGACCATTGTTTTAGTGATGATAAAAATGAAAATCTTGTCAAGTACGGGGCGACATATGCTATTGCTTGCAATAGCAGACTTTCTAGTTTTCTTTCTTACTGATTTTGTGCAGACGATTTCTCGAGAACGCCTCAACAGTGTTTCATGAAACTTTCAGCAATGATAGGAAACTATGTGAACTTTATGCCTTTTTTTATTTTGCCGTCGTCACTTCTGGTCGCGAGATATGGCAATTTTTATGTTTTTAAAGTGTCATTTTGTCCGAGAGTGTTCTCGAAAACGGTTTGAGATTGGGTCCTGAACTTTCAGGGATGATAGATTATGACTCCTAGATTTGAGAAGGATACATGGTTTTTGTTGCCGTTGCGTCCGTCGTCAACCGGAAGTAGTTTAAAAATATGCAAAATTTTATTTTCTTCTTTTTTAAAAATGTTTCTTATGCAGGCAAATAGAGTGTCTCGAGTAATATTATGCCCACCGGAAGTAATTTTTTCCAGACCGGAAGTAGTCAAAAAATGAGCATTTTTGCTCAAAATTATCAGGGATGATTCCTTCATACTCAGAAAGGAGTTTTAGGTCATTTTAAGTACTTCTGGTCACACCGGAAGTGAATTATAAAGACCAGAAGTTGTTTGAAATTGATAGATTTCACTCTAAAATGTGTTCTCACGTATTTTGAATAATTGATCTGAACACTTTTTTTCATTTAAAGTTGTTTTACAACCTTATCAAAAATCGAACGGAAGACCTACTCGATGCTTGCAACGAGATCTCATCTAGTTATTCTCTTTTTTTTCATTTTCCTAGACGCCAACTTTGAGGGCTCATATTTCACTCATTTCTAAATGGATTTTGCTCAAATTTTCAAGTTTATAGACGTAACTAAACTCTATCAGAATATTGTCTGGCATTCCAAAAATTCACTTCCCGTTTTGAGTTATTTCCCTTTAAACGAAAATTTATAGGCTTTCATTTCCAGACAAAGGCTCAGAGATTGCAAAAGCTGGAGCAGAAATTTTAACGATTTTACACAATAGAAGGATTGAAGTTGTGCATAGCGGTTTTTGTTTTTCGATTTCTCTATATTAAAGTCGACAAAATGCCTCTGGCGACGTCACTTCCGGTCAAACCGGAAGTCGTCAGAAAATGAATATTTTTGTCATTCTTGACAAGTTTTTGGGTAACTTATGTAACTGAAAGCATAAAACTTAATTTACTGTCTGTCGACATCACTTCCGGTCAAACCAGAAGTAGCAAAAATAGCTTTTTAAAGGTTTGGATGCAAAATTGTAATTATAAAGTGACTGGAGACGACTTAGCTCATTGTTTTCTTTTCTTGACGTCACTTCCGGTCAATACAGGAAGGAAGACGTACTCGTTGCATTGCAACGAGCTTTGCTCTAGTTTTCTTCTACTTTTTTTTCTCAATTGAAATTATTTAAAAGATGATAAAAGCTTTGTTTCCAGGGATTAATTTTGTACTCAGCCTAATTATTACAAACGATTATAAAAGATACACATTTTAATTTTTAAAAAAATAATGGAACCCTGAAAAAAGTAAAATTAATTTTTAAAAAAATATGAAAACAAATTTAATCGGCATTCGATCCTCTTCTAAAAATCAGCCGAAATAAAATATACACAGAAAAAAGAGGCATGCAAAATCTTGAAAATTAGCACAAATTGAAAATTATATCTAATAAATGATTATTGTTGAAAATTTGATTAATTCCTATGCAGGATATAAGTTGTAAAAATAATTTTTAATTTGAATTTGTTCAATTTATAATTATCATTTTGAGCCTTTGAGAAGAAATAAAAATTAAAATACAGATGCTTACAGGCATATTGAAAGAAATTCGCATACTTGTTTTTGTTAAAAAAAAAAACCCCAATGTATTGCTTATGCAACATATTGAAGAAAGTGACAATGATACCTAGGTAATTCTTGTAATGGACAGTTAAATTGTTTGTTATACACTGACTTTTAGTGAACCTTTGAATTTTTAAAAAAAACTAGTATTGATGGATTACAGGGCCGTAACTACCATTGAGGCAACGGAAGCAATTGCCTCCTCTAGATTTTCATTTTTTTTTTTGAAATAAAAAACACAACACAAGCAGTTGGATCAAGATTGATCATTTATTTGTTTGATTATAGCCACCTGAGCAATTTTTCAGCTATCCAGTGAGTGTCACCATTACCTATGCTCGGCGTTCAGGGCCTTTGAGCAGAGAGGGATCTTTATCGTGCCACAGCTGTGACACGGGGCTTCGATTAACTTTATGCGGTCTCATCCGAAGGGCCAGTCCCCATGTCCCATAGCGAAATTCGAACTACGGCGATCGATCATTTTAGAACTGCATTTAGTACGGGGAAAACTATTCAGAATGAATCGACGGGTACGATCTTCCCAGATAACCCTATTGACTAAAATAATTTTATCTTTTTCTTGGGAAAAGTCAGAGTCGTATTTATCATTGTTTATATTATTTTACATTCAGAAGTTAAAATTCAATTGAAGCATCAGATGAGTATTGTGAGTTAACGTTAGTTGGTTGGTTATTGATTGTTTTACGTCCCGCTCAAGAATTTTCACTTTTATGCCGAGCATAGGTAATGGTGACACTCACTGGATAGCTGAAAAATTGCTCAGGTGGCTATAATCAAACAAATAAATGATCAATCTTGATCCAACTGCTTGTTTTGTGTTTCTTATTTCCAAAAAAAAAAATGAAAATCTAGAGGAGGCAATTGCCTCCGTTGCCTCAATGGTAGTTACGGCCCTGAAAAGCCTGCAAAATTTAGACCTATGCTCGGCGCTCAGGGCCTTTGAGCAGGAAGGGATCTTTATCGTGACACACCTGCTGTGACACAGGACCTCGGTTTTTTCCGTCTCATCTGAGGGACTGTCCCATTCAGTTGCTTCTTACAACACGCCATACATGTATAAGTGAAATATTCTTGAGCGGGACGTAAAATTACAAACAATCTTACAACACGCAAGGGACGATGAGGACCTACTCTAAGTAACTCAGATCATTACGGGTCCCAATTCAGTCGCCTTTTACGACACACACTCCCCATTCAGTCGCCCCTTACGACACACAGTCTTCATTCAGTCGCCTTTTACTGTTTTACTGCAGTCAAACAGTAATAAAGTGGTAAGCATTCTCAAAACGAAGGAAATGGTCCAAAATTGAGCCGTTTGAAGCAATTTTTTTGCGGACCCCCCGATCTTTGGGGGCCTCAATCGGCGGCCTCTAAACCCCCGCCTCCTCTATCTTTTACCCCTAGTTACGGCCCTGGATTAAACAACAAATTTCCTTTTCACACGTTTTCTAAATCAATATTGCATGAAAAATATTTGCAAATACTCAGTATATGTTCGTTTAATATACATATCGTGCAGGACTCTTTTTTTTAATAATTGCCATATACCATTTACTTATTCAAACATTTAATTGTGTAAAAAGTCAATAATGTACATTTCTTAAAACTTTATTTTTCTTGTTTACTTGTCTTTTTTCCTGTGAGAGAAATAGTTCATAATATTGATAAACAGGTGTACTCAGTATCTGTATCAAAATACAGAATGAGCAATGATCAGTCTCAAAAGAAAAACGGATCCTTGAAAGTTCCGGTGCCTAGGAGAAGTAAGCATCCCCAATGACATGTCACACCTGCTGACCCGCAGTGAGCCTACGAAACTGAAGCTCTCTGAAATTAATTAATTTACAAAATTAATTCTCTGCTCCTCCATCCGTTTTTCTCAGACTAGCCAGCTAAAGATCTATGTAAGGTACTCCAAATCAATTCATCTAAAGAATTTGAATAATCATTTTCTTTTCTTTTTGAGTTGTTTGCTTTAATAGCCGTTACAGTTACCTAATTTCAGAATCAATAGAGCATGAAAGACAATTAAACTTGCAACAACAACATTTTCTTTTTCGTTCTGAGCACTCTTGGACGCCACCAATGGAGACAATTAGGGAGAATTTTTTTTTTAAATTGAACTTCCTGTCTTTCAAACTAAAAAATCTCAGGTTGATATTTTGAAACATACATTTGTGACATCAGTCTGGGATGTTATTGGTTTTATCATTTAGTTAAGTACTACAAAATTCAGTGTGTCTGCTTCTTTGCTGATGACATTGGACAAAGATATGCATGCTTACTTTAATATCATCATTCAATGCATTTTTTGTTATTGTACATTGTACATATTCGATGAAAGCATGCTAACCGCTTTTCAGTACTTTCAGTACTTTGATTCCTTTATAGATCCGGCATGTCACGAAATAAATCAGCAAGAAAAATGCTTCTATGCGGATCCCGCATGCCAAAATACGTATGTAAAAGGGGTCTTCTCTTATTTAATTCCTATTAAAAGAATGAATTTAATTAGTTAGGGCAGTTTATGCTTTATAAACCGCGAAGCGGTTTATTAAAAAGCGTAAACTGTTCCAACCCAGTTTATACCGTATACATTGGGTAGTATTAAATTCATTGCTTATAATTCTATATTCTTTTATTTGATATAAGAAAAAAGATAATTGTTCTAACAAAATGACTTCAATTTGTACAAAATTTGAATGTAACGTCAGGCGGATTGATACGTTTTTGGCGTAAGTCATTGTGACGTAGGCAACCCATTCTATACGATATGAAGTAAATTTTTTATCCAATCAAATACAGCGTTACAACCAGAATTAAATTATTGATAAGTAATTTTTAAAAAAGTAGTTTTAAAAAGAAACACTTATTTTGAATGCATGGTCTTTTTTGTATAATTTATTATTCGTTTTACAGAACTATTACGACGGAATCCCTGTTTTCATCAACAACTGTAACAACAGAAGAAACAGCATCTTTTCCCACATCAACTTTTGTAGCAATCACACTGGTGTCGCTTTTGTCTCTCTTATTCATAATTGCTATACTATTTTATGTCTTCAGAAAAAGGAAAGGGAATCTAACACAAATTACAGGAGGTATTCTAATTTCATTTATTATTCAACAAAAGATGTTCAAATTTTTGCTGACCATTACACTCAGTTGCTTCAGATCTGGTGAAATTTAAATACAGCTGCATATCAATTGTTGCATTTATAATATAACTGGTCTCCGTAATTAATAAAAAGCAAATTAAAGTTTGCAAAAATATGTATCTTTCCACAATAGTATAATTATAATAAAGTGATATAATATTAGATGTAATATAGTGATATAATATTAGATGTAAAGTAAAATCTTGACAGAGTAATACAGATTTATTAGATAAAATCACAAGGGCTTGTAACATACTGTTTTTAATTTTACGTTTTCACTATATATATATATACAAAAAAGGAAAGGGAAACAACGTCAGCCCGAATTTACACAGGGTCGATCTCAGAAATATTTCGTATTTCATAGAAAAAAGAATGTAGCCAATTAAATTATAACTAGAAGTCATACTACAATAAATATCCTTTAATAAAACAGAAACCTCGTAACTTTTTATAGCGTTTAAGTTGGATAATACTAACTCGATATCCCGTTGTGAGAGTCGATGTACTTTAAGTCGTCCACTAAACCGAGGCAAAATTCGCACATTTTCTCCAGTTTTGAAGTCTTTCCGGAGATGGAAAACAGAAAGTAAAGATCCAGCGTTCACGAAAATCATCTTTTTCTTTTGTAAATTGCAATTAAAAAGGTACAACATCTCCAATTTTAATAAATACGGTAGTTTTTTTCGGTCACAGAGAGGCTCGAGCCCAGAACAGACGACATTTTGGAAAAACCCATGATTGGTAAAAGGTGGAGCGTGATTGGTCAGATCTGTTCTAGAAAAGCCACCATTGACCAATCACATCTCGCGTTAAATATTGGATGCAATGTTTAGCGAATCTAGTGGACGACTACCGGATCTGCAAAACACGACTTACACGATTCTTAAATGACAGCGATGGTATTTTTAGCTCTACTGGTCAGAGACCAGAAGAGCTTATGCGATAGTAAGGTGTCCGTCGTCCGTCCGTCTGTCTGTCTGTCTGTCCGTCTGTCTGTAAACAATTTTTCAAAAGGCTACTCCTCCTACAGTTTTGGTCTGATTTCAATATCACATAACACACAAGTAGACTACACTAAGATACATAAAATAGTGCATCGGTTTTTGATTTCGATGAACGGTGTTGCCATTGTTACTAAAAATAGAATTTTCTTTGAAATTCCTTTAAAACGCTACTCCTCCTACAGTTTTGATTTGATTTCAATATTACTTGGCACACAGGTAGACTACACTAAGATACATAAAATAGTGCATCGGTTTTTGATTTGGATGAACGGTGTTGCCATGGTTACTAAAAATAGAATTTTCTTTGAAATTCCTTTAAAATGCTACTTCTTCTACTGTTTTGGTCTGATTTCAATATCACATAACACACAAGTAGACTACACTAAGATACATGAAATAGTGCATCGGTTTTTGATTTCGATGAACGGTGTTGCCATGGTTACTAAAAATAGAATTTTCTTTGAAATTCCTTTAAAACGCTACTCCTCCTACAGTTTTAATTTGATTTCAATATTACTTGGCACACAAGTAGACTACACTAAGATACATAAAATAGTGCATCGGTTTTTGATTTGGATGAAAGGTGTTGCCATGGTTATTAAAAATAGAATTTTCTTAAAATTCCTTTAAAACGCTAGTCATCCTACAGTTTTGGTCTGATGGCAATGGCTTCTTTTCTCATCCTTTGTTATAAGTACAAACCAGTAGAGCTACAGTCTCGACAGAGACTTCTGGTTTATTAAAGAGTGATTATAACTGAATGATCCCAGACGTTATTTCACTAACTGCAAGGTATTTTATTGAAAACACGAATCATTTCCGACACCGACCCTGTGTAAATTCGAGCTGACGTTGTTTCCCTTTCTCTTTTTGTATACATATAGTGATTACGTGAAATCAAATACAGATGTTACAGGCCCCTGTGGATAAAATCTAGGTCAATATTGTTTTGAGAAAAAAAACGCGCCATTGTTATGCCCCTTGGACACATTAGAAAACTTTCAATTATTTGCAGTTTCCGTTCATTTTCTTCGCAGAGGTCGTACATAATGAAATGAAATTTAGTATACATTTTTATCAATTAGACATCTAGGTCGATTTTAATTTGGGGTATAATCGTGCCATATTTGACAGTGTTATGCTCCTGGGACTGCAAAAAAATCCAATTTTAGGCTGGATGTTTTACAAACATCTATTGTTTTTTCTTCACGTTTTAAATATCTTTTTTTTTCCTTTTTCAAGCTAGAAAAATATATTAGTTCACTATATATGTTCATTTGCCTAAATACCAGTTTTAAATTAACAGTTTCACATGATAAAGAATTACTTATGCCTGATATCGAGCCAAGTGGCGAAGAAGACGAAAGTGAAAGCGATACCCATGAAGAATGTTTAAGTAAGGCATTAATACTAAGGTTACGCAATCTTTAGAAAAATTAAAAACAAAGGGTATGAATTTCAATTTTAATTCTTTGAACATTGTTCTAGTTACATTTAGTGTATTTTTCTTTATGAAATCTTTTAGAAATTAACGACGTTTGAATGGTCAAAAATACAACAACTGTGAGCTTTTAAAATTAGTTTGTCATGTTTTTACTCGCAATATTACAATTGACGTAAAATACAACCACTGTGCCCTTAAAATTACTTTTTCCTTTTCCCCTCGCGATGCAATATTTAATTTTCCAACGTCACAAACGGCTCGTACGTCTATTAGGCACTTCTGTTTCAAAAGGACGCAAAATTCTTTATAAACTTTAACGAAAGAAACGGTTTTAAAGAAAGAAAATTAGAGAATGGAAAGTTTTGAAATCTTATTTTTAGATGTCGTCGGTGCTATTACACACCTGGACGTGCTGACAAATTAAATAGATTTGAAAAGAATATATTAGAAAAAAAAAACAAATCTTTTACCTCTTTCAATAGTTAATTCATGCTTCAGTTGTGAAAGTAAACCCTACTTGATTCAATAGAAATTCATTTCAATTTCAATGCTTTTACAAAATATTAATTTTCAATCTAAACGTACATGTAATATACATGTAATTCAATATCCATCTTACGTCGTGAAAATGTACTTGTTGTTTTTCTTACTTTGATTATTTTAGATCAACTCATTTCCCGCTATTTGGGTGACTACAATGTGTGGAAAACAAAATTATCAGGTAAGTCTAAATAGTTCTTAAATCACACAGAGTTTAAATACTAATGATATACAAATGTAAGATATACTACGGATTGACCATGTGGCCTTTATTTATACAAATTCATTATTATCGTCATAATTCTAAAAGTCCCCATAATATTATTTCCAATTTTTTGGCAATGAAAGAAATATTATTTAATTATAGTTTTAGCATGGTATGTTGACAATCAAGTGTTATTGCCGAAAATCACCGTGTTTTCCCCATTCAGAAGGCTCATTCACTTTGTCTCGATTCTGATTTGAATGTAATCTTCAAGTACAAAAGAAAAAGTCTCATTATCTTTTAAGAAAGATTGATAATTTTATGGATAGCAATCGAATACAGATTTGCTTACATGTTAACCGTTCTTGTCATTAGTCTCTGACGCCACTTACATGTAAAATATATCAACTAGGGATGTCAACGAATATTCGAATATTCATTCGATGAGTTAATATTCGAATATAAATTCATGATTCGAATATTTGGATTTTAAGTATACAAGCATCAAAAAGAAAAACAATCTGGCAAAAACTGAAGCTTTATCAGAAATTGAATCAAATTCTCATCGTTGACTAATAATAAGATTTTATTAAAAACAAAATTAAAAGACACTCCTCTTGGATTACCTTAAACAGGTCTGGACGATTTCTAAATATGGAAGTCAAGAACGATAACCGAAAGTTGCTATAAATGTACATCAAGTACACGTAATTATTTTTCTGTCCAATCAGACAACAGCATTTTTACACACCCAAAAACATATTTTAAAAGAACAAAAAGATAACACGTGCTTTTGTTTTTTTTCCTCAAAAAGATTTTTTAAACAAAAAATCTGTAGAAGTAAGATGAAAACTTTTGAAGAATAAGGTATACCCCACATTTTTACCGTGAACAACCTTGACATTTTTATCTCGGTAAAGAAAAAAAAAATAATGCACGATAGAATATAATAGTTTACATAGGTATGGATCGCACCAGCAAGTTTTTATCAAGTTTAATTATAACATTTACCAGAATATATTATATGATGGTAAATATGATTTTGCTTAGCCGTCCCATTTTCATCGATAATGCTTAAATTCCATGTGTATAGACCAACTCACACAAGTGTTATACACATATAGTTTTGCATTATCACGGGTTTCATGAGCGCCGAATGCTTAGCTATGCAGACTTTAAAGGGCATAAGGAAAGGCGTTTAACGTGGAGAGAAGAGAATCCTGTAATTATACATGAATGCGTTTTATCCCAATATCTTACCTCGCATATCAGAAACTGCATGGACTACTAGTATTCTGTAATAAACACTCAAAAATAATAAAGACTGTTATCTTTTCGAGATTTTTATGTCAGGCTCTAAAAACTGAAAATTTACCGTATTTATATCAATTTTTTAACGTAAGTAAACTTTTGGGATTGCTAACTCCTATAGACAGATTTTTTTTATCCCACTTAAAACGTATTCCAAGCTTTCAAGTCGTGTTTGTTCACGGTAGAATTGTCATAAATATTATATTATTCCCCAATGCGCATAAAGTTTACAAAAATTTTGTTCTAAAAAAATCTTTTTTATTTATTTGTTTATTTTTCACGTGTTTTATTTATTCTCTCATGGGTTTGTCTAAATGCTGTTATCTGATTGGTCAGAAGGATTAGTGCCTTGTTTATTCTATGTATTAATAGCAATTCACGGTTATCGTTCTTGACTTCCATATTTAGAAATCGTCCAGACCTGTTAAAGTTGTGAAGAGTGTGTCTATTAAAATAATATAAATTCTTCATTTGATCATTTAATTAGAGATATAACAGTGCCCAGTACTTAGAATTAGTTTGTATTGTTGAAATAACACATTTTTGTTTATGTATACATCATTTAATATCATTATCAGGAAATCAATTAGCTAAAAGTAATTGCTTTTAATGTTTCTCCATTAGACAATTGTTCTGTGTGGTATAAATCCGTAGGGTTATCAGTGTACACTTTGATAAGATGATAAATTAATCTTAAACTTATTAAAAGAATCTTTTGAATTTTCAGGGACGATTTTCTTATTACATTTTGGAAATAAACTCTTCATATATTATGTTAAATATTTAAATAATATAATTAAAGTGCATTTACAAAACTCTACATGAAATATTAATCCAAAATAATGACATAAAACGTATATATTGCTTGACATAAGAGTGAAGATATATACATATTATAATGCAAGGTGTATTCATTTTATCGAATATTCGAATATATTCGAATACTACTATCGAATATTCGAATATCAATTATTGACAATTTTGACATCCCTAATATCAACTCATATTTTAAATAGACAAAGTTTCCTTCAAACTGTCGACATTGCTTTTGTGGTATTTTCAAAGCATACATATATTGCTCGTGGTTTTATTTTCTAGCTTTTAATATATTCATTTCTCAAATAACAGATACTCAAGATATTAGTCAATTAAAACAAGTTTTTGACAACAGTTTAATTCATTTGGCTTTCGATTGTTTTATTGATTTATATATACATTTGCAAATGTTTCTCTTATATACATGTAACATTATTTGAACAATGTGTACGGACTTGAACAGGTTAGTTCGTCAAGTTTTAAATTGATTGTTTAGTTGTCATTCCATAATGAAACATTGCTGTGATTCATTCCTTTATTCTTGCAGTCTAAAACTTTACCTGTGGCAGTCCGATATTAGTGGGCAGTCTGATATTAACTGCAATATCAGACTGTCTCTGTACTGATTTCTTGCAAAATTGCACTGTACTGTTACTAAAGAAAAGAAATAAAAATGTGATTAATTAACAAAATGCAATTTTAATTTCTCACTTAAAGTGGTGATTTTGAAAAATTGATCTTACAGAATTGCAAAATTAAAAAAAAAATTAATCAAACCGAATATACTATAACAGGTAGAAGAACATGCGACAGACCAGATTATGCAGAAAAAAAACAAAGTGGTAAATTTCTTATTTACTAATTAAACTTGAAGAAATGTTCAACCCCTTTCTCTGGCTTTTGAAAAAGAGTAGGTGCACTGGGGTTCACAAGAGAAGCACAGAAACTTCCAAAACCCCAAACATAAACTTAATTTGACAGATTCGCAACAAATTTTGAAAGAAATTTAAAGATTGTCAAGGTTTCCTTACTCTTCTTATCAAATTATTTCAAATACCTTTACCAGTGTAGCCTAATCCCTGATTACTGAGTACTTTTCATTTAAGCTTGCATTCTTGTGTAATGGTTAGGGCCGTGGATATCGGCCTGGATAGCTCAGTTGTTAGAGCACCTGACTAGAGATGCAGGGGTCCCGGGTTCGATTCCCGGTCCAGCCATGCATTTTCTCCTTTCCTGTTACAGATTTGGTGCCGTGCCATGCCCTGGAATTGACAGGTGAAAGACCTGCCAGGGATGAGCCTGGGTTTGGGTCTTTGGAGGGCCAAAGACCTTTAAGGAGGGAGGAATGTAATGGTTAGGGCCGTGGATATCGGCCTGGATAGCTCAGTTGGTAGAGCACCTGACTAGAGATGCAGGGGTCCCGGGTTCGATTCCCGGTCCAGCCATGCATTTTCTCCTTTCCTGTTACACTTGAAAGAATTGAATCAGTGGATATTTACACCATTGTTTATTGTTCTTATATAGGACTGTCTCAGGTAGATCAAAAGCAATGTTTTAAGTACGATATATGCTTAATACAATTTTGTATTTGAAAAATCAGACAGTTTTCAAACTGTCTGATATTTTTTTAATACAGAACTGTATTCGGCATATATCCAATACAGACGTCATAAGTAGTCGACGGTTCAACACATTCATTTAATACCGTTGAGCTTTGAAAAAAAGCACATTATAAGTTTCAACGTTTAGTACTCAATTATTGGTAATAAATCAGTAATAAGTGTAAATATGATAAGAAGGTATCAATTTTTAACATTAATCTCGATGAAAATACGGGTTTGTCTATGATTAAAACCATAAAGCCCTCCAAGCTTTATAAAATTTGATCATGATATCAACCCGTTTTTTATTTAGACCGCTAAAATATTGTTGGTGACTTAGTACGATCTACATGTAACGATCAAATCAAAGGAAATTTTTGTAGAGCTTGGATACAAAAATTAATGAGCATTATACTCATTAAGTACAAAATATATCCCTGGGAAAATTTGTTCTGTCATTCCCGCTTAAGGATACACCAAAGGTTTCCAAAGGGCAAAATTTAATTTGCTTGTAATTCTTTCATTAACAAAGATAACATGTTAAAAGTATATATTATTTGAAAGCTTATTAAATTCACTATTTAATGATCCTAATTTTAATTTTCATTTTTATCTTATTAAAAAATTATTAATATTTTAATGTAATTGTTAGTGCACTTATATTTTATAAATCAACTTTTTTGTATTCCACCTCTCATAGTCAAAATTTTGCCTCAATGTAGATAAAAGATTGAACTTCAAAACCGTATCTCAGATTTTTGATAAATCTTTTTATTCAAAAGTTACATCCATTTGTCTTTCAATGTTACCAATTTATTAGCCTAATTCTACATTTCCCCCAATAATTCGAGAACTGAGCAAGATATCAAAAATCTGAGATACGGTTTTGTGAACACACATTTGAGACACGTTCTGGCCAGTTTTCAGAGAAATTGGTCAATAAATAAGGGAGCTGAATCCTTTCAAATAATACCACCAACTGACTGATCTTACTTTACAGTAGAGGACAAAACCCCATTACACAACAAAGTCTGCCAAAGCTGGAAATATATTACACCTTAGAGATTCAGCTTTGGATACCTGTCACTTATCCATATTTCCTATGCATATTCACAAGAATGGGAGGTTCTATTCTTTATTTAGGTGCTTTTAATGAAGTAAAATAGGTTCAATTCTGAATCAGAAAGATTTCCCGGCAAAATGGCAAGAGCTAAGCTCCACCTCTTATTTCATGGTCATTAGTGACCT